GGGCTTCTTCCTGCTTTCCCTTTCACCTCCCTGCATTGTGCCTACATATGCAAATTAACCACCGTCTTTGTTGTCAGTTAACTGCCATCTGAGTTGGCAGTTAATTTGCATATCCCCCTGATTATCCATTGAAAAGGGTAGTGTCGTACGCCAATTACCATTTTTCTCTTTTATTAGTGTAGATAGTTTATTTGAGAAATTTATAGAAATGGTGAACAGACAATTCTTTTTCCATGGGTTAGGAACAAGGAATGTAAGGGGAGACTGGTGTGGCTATAAAAGGCCAAGATGAGGAATCCATGTGATAATGGAATTTTTCTGTGCCTTCCCTGTCTGTGGTGTTGGATAAGTGAACCTAGACATACAATAAATTGCATTGAACTAAAATACACATTGCTCATATGCACGTATACACACACACACACACAAATGAGTACAAATAAAATTTGAGTAAGATTTTTGACTTGTAGCATGACAGCACCTTGGTTGTGATATTGTACTATAGTTTTGCAGGATGTTTCCATTGGAGGGAACTGGGTGTAGGTTACATGGCATCTCTGTAGTATTTTTCACAGTGCATGTAAATCTCCCATTATCAGACAATTAAAAGTTTAAAAACTAAATATTTTTATGAATAATAAATATTTAAATATTTAAAAACCTATTTTAACAAGGAGTTGCAATCTCATATCTAACAAGCTTATTTTTTTAATTTTATTGTTGAAGTATTATAGTCCTTATTATTGAAAGTATTACAGATGTCCCCTGTTTTGCCCCATTAACCCGCCCCACCCCAGGCCTTCATCACACTATTATCTATGTCCATTGAACAGCCTTATTTTTTTAAATGTTTAAAAGTTTACAACACATTTTTGAAAACACAGGTTCACTATAGGTAATTTCAGTGCAACAGTAATAAAAGCTCAGATTTATTGTTATTATGACCAAAACACAGTTAAGGTTTTTATGAATACTATCTCAATGAATTCCTACATCCTACTTAATCCTTGTGAGTTCAATGTTATTATTATTCTACTAGAGGCCCGGTGCATAAATTTATGCACTGGTGGGTTCCCTCAGCCTGTGGCAATCAGGGTCTATTGAGGCCGTCTAGCCTAGTTTCAATTGGGGGCAATAGGAGTCGGCCAGCCAGGGAGGTACCTCGGGAGGGTTCCAGGGTATGTTCAGCCCATCTCACCCAGTCCCGATTGGCCAGACCCCTGCAGCAAGTTAACCTACTGGTCAGAGCATCTGCCCCCTGGTAGTCAGTGCATGTCATAGCGACTGGTCAAATGGTTGATCAAACGGTTGATCAATTGGTCAGACTCTTATCATATTCCACTTCTATTACATAGGATTTTACAGAAAAGAGAACAGGCTCAGGATTTAGTGACTGAGATAGGATTTGAACCCACATCTGTCTTGCTCCAAAACTTAACCTCTCCAAAGTATGGGGTGGACAAAAGTAGGTTTACAATTGTAACATTAATAAATAATGCAATAATTGATAAATAATACAAGAATAAAGTCTGTGTTTTGTGTACTTAAAACTGTAAACCTACTTTTGCCCACCCCTGTGTATAATAAGTATACTGAAGTACCTTCCAACAACATGGGATAAGGATGAGGTTGGCATTTGTGGCTACTAAGACCTGATATAGAAAAGAGCTGAAGGCACTTAAAGTATGTTTTTTTCCTGGGTAAAAACCTTACCATAATTACCCTTGGGTATAAATAAATAGAATAAGCAGCAATGCATCAGGATGTCTCCAGTAAAAATATCCTATTGTAATTTCTACTGCAAGAAGAAATTCCTGCAAAGATGCCATCTCTTATAGCCATGTGACAGTTTAAGAGTCCAGTCCACATCTTATGAAAACAAATACTTCAAAAGAGTGTGTTACTTTAAGATTGCTGACTTGAGAGAGGCAATTGTATTCTTCAGTAAATATTAAGAGGAAGAGTGGTTTCAAATATTTAATTCCCCCAAGTCCTGACTCTGACCACTATGAAAGTGATACAGTCCTCCCAACCCTGTCATCCTCAATTGCCTTGGTATAGGAGGCACAGACGGCCTTTCAGGTGGCAAACCCAGCACTATTAACAGCTTTCTCTGTTAATGAATTGGTCTTGCTGAAAAGCACATACCTAGGTCTATTGGTTCGTGGATGAGGAGCAGAAGCCCTGGAGTACTTCTGCTGTTTCTTTTTTATCAGGCTATAGGATGCTTTCTGTGGTAGCAGTTGTCTGGGGAAGTTCAATGGGCTTGAAGATCTGATTTGAATAAGTAATTAATAATTTGAAAAAAAACTAATTAAGTTTGAGTGTGATTCTAAAGTTAGAGCTCTTACAGGGACACAAAAAGAGTAGAAGTATAAGAGGAAACATTTAAAAATATTCTGAGTCTGAATTTCCCCATTCCCATCTTTCCTCCAACATATACAATCATGTTCTTTCTCTTCTCTCACTTTCTCACTTTGATTCTTCATTTGTTTCTCTTCTCTTGCCTTGCCTTCTCTCTCTCTGTCTCTCTCTCTCTCTCTCTCTCTCTCTCTCTCTCTCTCACACACACACACACACACACACACACACAGAGGATGACCACCATCATCACCATCACTGCTATTATTAGAGTTAGTATGTAAGAATAACCCTCTCGGGGAGAAGATTCACTCACTGTCATATTCCCGGAATTGGACTCAGAGAGTTACCTATAGGCGTACAATCTTCTCCAAGAATCACAAACTGTCAGAGTTAGGAAGAACCTCAGAAATTCTACCTTTCTATTTATAGGAGAGGAAACTAAGAAGGAGGGGGATATGGGTAATTTTTCCAGGGGCACTAAGTTAGTGGCAGAGCCAGGACTAGAATTCAGAAAGCAAATTATAAAGGGTGGGGGGTAAGAAAGGGGAAAACACGCACTGGCTTTTCTCCTGATATGCCTCATTCTGAAGTGTGTTGCTGGGCCCCACAGTGACCTGCCTCTGCTCCATTATTTGCTCTCCCCCCGAGACTCATGGTGGTTAACTCAGATTCAGTAAGCATAACTGGAAACTGAATGTGTAGATGGTGGTGGTGATACTGGTGGTTTGGAGGAGTCGATGCTGCCTTTTAAGCTATTTATATTTGATGTTTTAAATTACAATCCAACCCCAATGATCCCAGGCTAATAGGTGAGGTTACATTTCCTTAACTGGTTCCTTCCCACCAGAGAGTCCATGAAAACCTAAGGGCTCTTAATTTAAAATGAAGCCTTTAGGCCAAATAATCACCATATGCATCTACCTCTGCAATCCTGGTTAAACTACAGGCCCATTGAGAATTAAATGCCAATTCAAGTGTGCTAGTCGGTGCTGTCTGATTTTCTTGTCCTAATCAACATATGCAGTCATCTGTTTTCCCCTGGGATCACTTGATACTCTAGATGACAGCTATTTTTCATCATGCTTTACAAAATATATATGTTTTTATTGATTTTCTTTTTAGAAAGAGAGGAAGGGAGAAGGATAGAGAGATAGAAACATTGATTGACTGCCTCCTGCATGCCCCCTACTGGGCATTGAGCCTGCAACCTGGGTATGTGTCCTGACCGGGAATTGAACCTACCATCTCTTGGTTCATGGGTCAACACTCAACCATTGAGCAACACAGGCCAGGCCATCATGCATTTTAAAAATTAAATTTATTTTTGGAAGAAGAGGGAAGATTGCGACCAACAAGAAGGCAGTGAGCAAGATAGTGTGAGTGAGTCAGAGAGCGAAAGGAGAGTGTGTGGACATGTGGGAGTGTGTGTATTTGTGAGTTAGGGACACTTATATTCCACAAGACTATCGGGGACTGGCAGACCAGGTTCCCCTGGCCAGGCAGCCTCTACTACCACAGAAATCTCTCCTGGGGCGGCCGGCTCTGCCACAGAGACTGTGCCACCTTGAAGGGGAGAGCAGCTATGATTGGCAGCTAGCCTTCCCTTCCCTTGGGGAGACCTCGGATACTATAGGGAACCCTACAGCCACAATGCGCAGGACCCAGTTGTCTTGGCTGCGAACCCACAAACACAGAGACTCCAGCCTCCTCGGCCATGGGCGCCTAAAAAAGTTTGTCCAGGGGGAGACAAAATGGCAGCTGAATAGGCGGATGGGTCCTGAGACTTCTCATGGAGCCGATAGAAGAAACAGCTGAATTAAATAACATCCACCCAGAATTGCTGAATTAAACACAGCTGGTGAGGCAATCTATGGACAGAAAAGTCAGAGATCGCCTGGAGAGAGGTGGGATTGGGGTTCTGGGTTGGAGGGAGAAACACGCCCTGCAGTGGGGAATAGAGTCTCAGAGGGAGACTGTGCTGCACCAAAACTGCATTCCTTGGGGTCAGTGTAGCCCTCGAATGTAGAAGGGGGTCCACAGGGCTGCTGGCAGTGGGGGACTCTAAATCTAAGCACACAGCTGTAGGAGGCTGAGCTCAGAAAGGCAGCCTGAAGTTTTACACTGACTGCCCAGTGCTGAGGGGAGAAAGTCACGAGGCGCCGCAGTTGCTCTGTCTTTGTAACTTCCTTGTTTTTACTGGCTAAACCCAGTGCATAGGATCTTTCAATTTAAAACACTCACCGAGACTGCAGGGGAAGGTGGCTTTTGTGGAAACTGGGGAGCAGAACAGGGAGAGATAAGCAGGAAGCCAGCTCTGAGACAGTCTGCCCCTCCAACCCTGAACAGACATTTTTCTCCTGAAGACCAGGCTCCTCCTAGCAGTGCAGCCACACCCAGGCTTGAGCATGGCAGGAAAAGGAAGATTCTAAATATGCCAGGGAACCCTTGGGAACTTGGTTGAGGGGCCATTTGATCACAGAAAAACTAATACAGAAACAAAGCTACCTAGTGGTCGTGTCAGAAATAGACTCTTGTGTAAATACAACTGAAAGCAGGCAGAAAAATAGTGGGAAGATTGATCCTGTCTGCTTGAAACCAAGGTTGTGGCATATGACACAGAGGAGCAGTGGATCGCTGGGAACTTCAACACTGTGATGACTACCTAAAAGGAAACTGAGACATGGCAGGCAGAACAGAAGAAAGGAATCATACCAGCCTCCATGGGTCATTGAAGCACCCCTGAAAAAAACAAACTTCACTACTTCACTTTTTTATTTTTTAACTTTTACTTAAAAAACTAAAATTTTTTTCACACTTTAATTTATTCTTTTTTTTTAAATATTTTATTGATTTTTTACAGAGAGTAAGGGAGAGAGATAGTCAGAAACATCGATGAGAGAGAGACATCGATCAGCTGCCTCCTGCACATCCCCCACTGGGGATGTGCCCGCAACCCAGGCACATGCCCTTGACCGGAATCGAACCTGGGACCTTTCAGTCCACAGGCTGACGCTCTATCCACTGAGCCAAACCGGTTTCGGCTATTATTTTTATTTATTATTATTTTTTACTATTTTTTGGATTAGTGTTCTACATTCTGTTTTTACTTTTTTATCATTATTTTACTCTATCTCATTTTTTCCTTTATGCCAACACTTTCTTCCTCATTTTTCTCTTTTTCATCAAATTTCTCTTCTGTTCCTGCTTTAGTTTTTCTCTACTCTTTCCTTTTACTCCCTGTTAAAAATTGATCTTCTTGCCGAAACCGGTTTGGCTCAGTGGATAGAGCGTCAGCCTGTGGACTGAGAGGTCCCAGGTTCGATTCCGGTCAAGGGCATGTACCTGGGTTGCGGGCACATCCCCGGTGGTGGATGTGCAGGAGGCAGCTGATCGATGTTTCTCTCTCATCGATGTTTCTAACTCTCTCTATCTCTCTCCCTTCCTCTCTGTGAAAAATCAATAAAATATATTTAAAAAAAATTGATCTTCTTTACCTGCTTTATTGATGGATTACTATTAAAATAGTGTCTCTTGGCCTACTCACATATCTAATTTTCTCTCCCCTGCTTCAAGTCCATATACACTTCTCTTTTCTCTTTCTTCACTAGCCAATTTTCTTTCTTTCTTTCTTTCTTGTTGCTGTTATTTGATTATTTGTGAGTTTTTTATTTTATTTTATGCTTTTGTTTTTCATCTCCTTCCTTGTTCTCTTCTTATACTAATAGCTTAATTAGTTTTAATCACAAATGCAGGCTTATCTGCTCTCTATTCTAGTTTTCCAAAAATAGATGAATACATAGATAGATAGATTAAAGAAAGGAAAATTTTATATAGATATAAATTTTCATATATATTAATTATAATAATTTTTTTCAATTATTATTTTCTACTTTTTTTAGTATTTGTTTTTTTTACTTTTATTATTATAGACTAATTCTCTTCCTACCTCCTCTATATTGAATCGTGGCCATTTCCCCATTCATTCCATTACTTGACCTTATCTTCTGGAAATAAGCTCTGCCTCTTCTGATTCAGCATCCCTCCTTCTTTTCTGGATGTTTGTTGTCTTCATTTCTTGGATTAGTTGCTGTATTTTTGTAGTTTCCCCCATATGCATATGTTTTTCCCCTTCTTTTTTCTTCTTCTTTTCTTTCTTACCTTTTTTCCTTTTCTCAATATCATTTGTGCTCTTTTCTCTCCCCTAATTCTCTTTTCTCTGATGGTCACGATTATTTGGGGATATTGGTATCATGATTACATTCATGTTTTGTGCCCTCTGTGTTGTGTCTTGTTGAGTTGTATTTTGTGTCTTTAAGTCAATGCAGTAGAGTGAGCCACATAACCAGAAACCCTGGGAGTAGGAAAAATGGGGAGACAAAGAAACAGCCCCCATATGAAAGAAAAGGAGGAATCACCGGAAAAGGAAGTAAACAAAATGGAGGCAAGCAATTTGTCAGAGAAAGAATTCAGAGCAATGGTCATAATGATGCTGAAAAGGTTGGAAGACAAATTTGACAACATGTGTAAGAACCAAGCAGAAATGAAGAATGACATAGCTGAAATAAATAAAACAATAGAAAGCATCAACAGTAGCCTATAAGAAGTTGAGAACAGCAATGGTGAGCTAGAATATAGGTAAGAACAAATACCCAAGCAGAGCAGCAACTAGAAGAAAAATTAAAAAAATAGGAGGAAAGCCTAAGGGAGCTTTGGGACAACACAAAATGGAACATCTGTATAATAGGGGTGCAAGAAGGATAGGAAACTGAGCAAGGAACAGAAAACCTGTTTGAAGAAATAATGACAGAAAACTTCCCTGATATTGGGAAGAAAATACTCACACAAGTCCAAGAAGCTCACAGTCCCCCCCAAAATGAACCCAAAAGACTGACACCAAGACACACTATAATTAAATTGGCAAACACCAATGATAAAGTAAGAATCTTAAAGGCTGCCTGTGAGAAACAGAAAATTACCTGTTAAGGGATCTCCCATCAGACTATCAACTGATTTCTCAATAGAAACACATCAGGCCAGAAGGGAATGGAGTGAAATATACAAAGTCATGTAAAGCAAGTGTCTGAATCCAAGGATACTATACTCAGCAAGGCTATCATTCAGAACTGAAGGTAAAATCAGGAGCTTCACAGACAAGAAAGGACTAAGGAAGTTTATTAACATAAAATCAGTAATGCAAAAAATGCTAAAGGGATTGCTGTTAAAAAAAAAAAAAAAAGAAATAGGGCCCTAACCGGTTTAGCTCAGCAGATAGAGCATCAGCCTGCAGACTCAAGGGTCCCAGGTTTGATTCTGGTCAAGGGCCTGTACCTTGGTTGCAGGCATATCCCCAGTAGGGGGTGCATTTTACTGTTACTCTCTTCGCTGTGT